ACACACACACACACACACACACACACACACACAAAGAGAAATGGTGACCAGTGAAAAGATGTAGCGACATACTGTGACACACACATCCACACAACACAAGTGGGTGGTTGGCGGGTGCTGTGATGTGCTTTGTTCCTTCTTTCCCATCACACATCTATCGTCCTTACATCTTCTCCTTTTCTTTATTATGCTATTCTCTTATAACACCTTTAATCTTCGACACATGTATGACCTAATTGTGTTGAAAGTGCAGTAAAACGCTTAATAAATTTTAAGTAAGCGACACAACAAGGAAGACAGTGCTCTGTGCGTTGGTGTATTGGTGTATTGGTGTATGGGTGTGTCGATGTGTTGTTGTGTCGGTGTGTTGGTGTCTTGGTACACTTGTGGTGTGTTGGTGTGTCGGTGTGTTGGTGTGTTGGTGTGTCGGTGTGTTGGTGTGTTGGTGTGTGGTGTTGGTGTGTCGGTGTGTCGGTGTCTTGGTGTGTTGGTGTGTGGTGTCGGTGTGTCGGTGTCTTGGTGTGTGGTGTGTGGTGTTGGTGTGTCGGTGTGTCGGTGTCTTATGTGTGTTGGTGTGTGGTGTTGGTGTGTCGGTCTGTCGGTGTCTTGGTGTGTTGGTGTATGGTGTTGGTGTGTCGGTGTGTTGTGTTGGTGTGGTGATTTGGTGTGTTCGCGTGTTGGAGTGTCGGTGTGGTGTGTTAGTGTGTTGACGTCTTGGTGTATTGGAGTGTGGTGTGTTGGTGTGTGGTGTGTTGGTGTAGGTGTGCTGGTGTGTTGTTGTCTTGATGTGTTGGTGTGTCAGTGTGTCGGTGTGTAGGTGTATGGGGTGTTGTTGACTTGGTGTGTTGGTTTGTCAAAGTGTTGGTGTGTCGGTGTGGGTGTGTTGGTGTGTCGGTGTGCGGTTGTGTTAGCGTTTTGTATTGGTGTGCTGTGTTGGTGTGACGGAGAGGTATCTCGGTGTGTTAGTGTGATGTGTTGGTGTGCTGTGTTGGTGTGTCGGAGAGGTATCTCAGTGTGTTAGTGTGATGTGTTGGTGTGCTGTGTGGGTGTGTTGGAGTATTGGTGTGTTGGTGTGGTGCGGTGTGTTGGTGTGGTGTGGTGTTTTGGTGTGGTGTGGTGTGTTGGTGCGGTGTGGTGTATTGGTGTGTCCGTCAACAGTGAACAATTACCTTGTCTATGGAGTTTTGAACTGAAACAGACAGCGTCAGGGGGTAGTTACGTCACAACTTGGCCTCATTCAACTCAATATGAGAACACGTCCCTGGTTTATACACATGGGCATATACACACATATGTACACACATACACACGTACACCTACACACATTTACACACACACACACACACACACACACACACACACACACACAT